TGGCCAGGGAAGCGGCCAGGGCCAGGGAAGCGGCCAGGGCCAGGGAAGCGGCCAGGGCCAGGGAAGCGGCCAGGGCCAGGGAAGCGGCCAGGGCCAGGGCAGCGGCCAGGGACAGGGCCAGGGACAGGGCCAGGGAAGCGGACAGGGACAGGGCCAGGGAAGCGGACAGGGCCAGGGACAGGGCCAGGGACAGGGCCAGGGCCAGGGACAGGGCCAGGGAAGCGGACAGGGCCAGGGACAGGGCCAGGGAAGCGGACAGGGCCAGGGCCAGGGCCAGGGCCAGGGCCAGGGACAGGGCCAGGGCCAGAGTCAGGGCCAGGGCCAGGGAAGCGGCCAGGGTCAGTGCCAGTGCCAGGGAAGCGGCCAGGGACATGGTCAGTGCCAGTGCCAGGGACATGGTCAGTGCCAGGAACAGGGTCGGTGACATGGTCATTGAAATGGCCATGGGAATTTTGCATTACACTTACTGGAGATCTTTTCAATTCAGTGCTTTATTCATATGGCATGTTTTCCCTGTTTGCTCAAACAGTTTAGAAAATTCTTTCCCCTGACCTCAAATAAAAATAATTGCTTGATTAAATGGTTGGTGTTTTTGGTAGTATTTTGGCAGTTTTTCACATAACTGCTTTCTGGCGTCAGTGGTTTAAGTTCTTCTCCCTGAGACCTGGGGGCTGTTTCATGAAACTAGTTTACCAAATAAGCCAGGCCTATTTCAGTTGTTCTGACTTATTGTCACTTGATTTGGTTTCATAAAGCAAAATTACCATAGCTCAGTCACTCTGGCAACTTATGCTGGGAAACTAATCTGGTCTGGAGCAGGTTAATGCCGAGTTAACACTGCATGATTTTCAAAATTGTCGGGTCACCATTTTCACAATGCACAACTATCTGCGGTAGCAGTCAGTCGCTGCTATGTTCACATTGCACGATGGATCGGCGACCGGAGGTTACACACTGCGTGACTTTACAATAGGAAGAATTGCCGACAACTCTGTCTGGTCCGCAAAACTACCTTTCGGAACAACGCATGTGAGAATCGATAAGGAAATAACGAGAGAACCTGCGTGCGTCAGACCGGTGTTCTCGAGCAAGACGGGAATTATTAAATTTATGTAGCCCGCAAATTGTCTGTGAGCTGATTTCCAGCTACAAGGAGAAAAAGAAAAACCGATGATGCAGGGAGCTGGGATTAGGTGTTCTGCAAAGAGGTGGAGGTAAATAATTTTGCAGTAACCATTATGATGTTGTGGCTGGTCAAGCAAATATTTGTGCTTGTTTCTGTATGATATAATTGTTCATATATCTATTAAAATACTGATATTCTGGTCTATAACTCCTCCCCGAACTTCCCTCTGCCCTGTATCTTGCCAATGTAGTTTTCAGTAAGAACTCCTTGCACACAGCGTGATTGCGAATCGCCGACAGCTCCAGATATTTAGCATGCCAAATATTTTGCGGGTGTCGGCGATTTCCCTCAGATCGCTTCTTTGATAGTCACTCGCGTGAACGAGCACCAATTTGCCTCCGATTCCGGGCATTTGTCGGCGATTTCGTAAAACCTGTCGGCAAGTGAAAAATCAGGGATTTTTAAACTGCATTCACTTGATAACATCTGGTTGTGACCTTTAAGTAACTTAATTAGAATTTCCTTTAGGATTTCCACTGTGGTTGGATGCATTGATTACACACATTCTCACCATCGCACCTTCCGAAAATGAAGCGGATTACTGTATGGAATGGAAGGATGCCAGATGGAAGGGTAGTGCAAGATATACGCCGTAACCACCACCATAGCTGTTAAATAAACAAATTATTCACAGTTTATTTGGTCATCTTTATGTTCTACAAATACAAGAGCAACAAATTTTTTTCCCTGTTGTAGAAAAACTCCTTCAGGATTGGTGCAGCTACTACTGCAGCTCCGAAATTGCCTTCTGCTACTCTGAAGGAAATGGGACGGTGGTCATCATCAGCCTACGAAGGTTATATTAGACCTAATGCTAAAGACATTCTAAATGCCCCAAAACTGATAAGCTCTTGAATTTCTAATCTATTGCAGGTGCTGTGTTTTGACTGAGGAGGGGTTTTTCTTCTTTACCATGTATTGTCAGTGTCAACAACTATCGTGGTCCATTAAACAATTATTGCGGCAAAACTCGTGTTCTTAAGCTTGCGCTATACGTCTGCTACTTAGATTAAGCCGGTCGGCACGGTAGCCGAGGCACACAAAGCTAGTACACTGCCAAAACCAAACTTAATTACATGCACATTCATATTCTAATTGTGTTTTTATCTCTGAGAGTTGTCATGACTGAAATGCAGTAATTCTCTCTCTGTGTGTGTGTTTTCTTTAATTCCAATAAATTTGGTTCATTTTAAGCCAGCAATAGTAATTTTCAAACAACCCAGCATGTTGGGTCAAACATTTGAGGCAAACCAGCTGGGTTTGTCCATATTTGACCCAGCGCTGGGTTGGCAAAATAACCCAGATTGGGTTGTTTAAGTATTTTTAGAGTGCAGTTATGCCAAAAGAGTATGCTGTCATATTTGATGCCATACCCCAGCAAATACAATTTGTAAGAGCTTATGGAAGTGATTCTGAGTCAATATATGTTTAATGCTCCTAGGGGATGTTGATATTCTTAAACAGTTGTACTAATAAATATAGGAATATTATAACCGGTGATACAGGTCAAAAGCTTATTGTGGACCAGTCTATTTAGAATTGAAATAAAGCTTGGCGTGTTTGTGAAATATACAGTGTAAATGATAAAGTAAAAGAGGCTATATTTAAAATGTTTCATGGTATATGCAGCTAAAAGTGTGTTAGAGAGATTTAATATGGATATTGATTATTCATGTGATTTGTTTGCTAAGTGGAAAAGGAGTTCATATTACCCATCTATTTTGAAACTGTCTACACAAGGATTTTTTTTTTTTGGGTGGATATGGAAAATTTCACATAAGAAAGTCAGGGTCCAAGCCAAATTTCATCCATTTTCTTCAGGAGACTTAAGGACTACTGCACCAGTTTGGAGAACATTGTTAATAAAAAAAGAGAACGAGACTTGTATTTTTTTTCCATGAATATACAGTTGTTGATTACTGAATAAATGGTTTGCACACTCTTGTACATTACTGTTGTATATTTTGTTCTGGTTAATAAAAACAAAGAAGAATTAGAAGAACCAGTGTACTGACTAAACATGCTACCTATCGGATTGCGCTACTGTTTTAAGGGTAAATTTAGGGTAAGTGTAGGTGCGGATGGGTAGGAGTAGGTATGGACATTAAAAAAGCCTCAAACCACATGAATAAGATCTTTTTATTGGAAGGTAGCACAATCTGAGCGGGTAGCACAAATCATCAGGACACTGGCACGCAACGCTTCGGTCTGTGCAGTGCTGCATGAAGTCGTAATCACGTGATGATGCGTGCAGTGCAGCTGGAGGGCAGGAAGTGATTTTTCTCCATAGAAATCACTAGCAGAAACTCCAAATGCCAATGTTTTGCGCTGTTTATGGATGCTTAAATTGGCCAAACTGAGAAACCACAAGGAGCTTTTATCGTGTACGAAAATGTGTTGTTCATAAGGGGGGAAAATTCAAGAAATTGATTGAAAAACGTGGCTTGTAAACCTGCGGTCGGGAGGAGCGAAACTGGATAATGCTCGTGCGTGCAGATGGTTAATATAAGATAATATATTAATAAAGAAATATATAAATAGATACAGGGTGACACTGTCAGAATTCACTGAATGCTAAATGCCACACATAGACACGATGCAAATAAGATATTGTTTGCAGATCTGAGAGCTTCTTATCACGGAATCGTGAGATTGAGATAAATTGAAGTGAGTGACAGCTTTTTAGTGATTAACGTTAGATGAAAGCGCTATTTGCTCGCTTTCTAGGCAGGCTATAATCGATTCAGAATTTAAATAAAAGTTGTTTTAGGTGCTGCTAACAGGACCAACATCCACATAACCTGTAACTTACATGCAGCACAGTTTCAGGAGTGACATAGCTATATCCCTCATATAAATACGGGATTCACTTTAGAAATAGCTTGTTTACAATCAGTTAGCTTAGCCTATATTCATCGCCTTAATGGCAGGCAAGTATTTCAATTTAGTTTAAAAATCGCTCCTCTTTATAACATAAGGATCACATCCTATGGGCTTACATTTCTGCCACAATTCTGCGTGCGAAAGATCATATTTTGAGTGCACAAAAGTGCATTTTGCACGTGCGCGATCTGAGTTTTGTGGAGAAAATGTTCGTTTCGCAAAGAAAAAAGTATTTCGAGCGAACGGAAATCAATTTTGCATTTAAAACACGTTTTTGGATGTGTGCAGACCGTCTCTTCTGCACGTGCAACGTTCCACTAGCTTGCTCACCTGATGCCCCCCCCTCTGTGCTCGCAAAATGCCAACAGCTCGCGTGCTCAACACAACCCAGCGTTACAATGTGCCATAATTCCAGCCAATCAGAGACCGAGGCTGCTAAATTCTGATTGGCTGCCTTGACAACCAGTCACA